TTGTTTATTTATTTATTTGTAACCTCTTCTCTGTCTGAAGACAGAGGAATACCTAAGACTGTCAGCTCAAAATGATGGTCCCAGGGAAGATGAGGGTGGAGAATGGGCCTGCCTCAGTCTCTCACTCAGAGGGACGGGGAGCAAAAGGCTGTTATGTTCCCATACTCCCCAACCCTTGGAAGGATAGAGACAAAAAACTTGAAATCCCATGTAGAGAGGGCTGACCCTCGTGAATAACCCTGCCATCTTTCTCCTGCTCATCTAGCTTCTTTTTGCTAGAGGGTAGAGTAGATTTAATCAGCTCTTAGCTTGTAAGCAAAGCATTCCAAAAGCCCAGGCCTCAGGACTGATGGGGGAAGCACAGATGAAGACAGAGGGGAAGGGACTCAGGTCCTGTTTTGTGGCAAGGGATGAAGTCTAAGGTTGACTACTCATTTTCAACTTTATCCTCTTCTTTTCTCTTCTTTTCCTACCCCCTCTTTCTTTCTCTCTCTCTCTCTCTCTCCCTCCCTCCCTCCCTCCCTCCCTCCCTCCCTTCCTTCCTTCCTTCCTTCCTTCCTTCCCTCCCTCCCTCCCTCCCTCCCTCCCTCCTTTCTTTCCTTTTCTTTTCTTTTCTTTTCTTTTCTTTCCTTTCCTTTCCTTTCCTTTTCTTTTCTTTTCTTTTCTTTTCTTTTCTTTTCTTTTCTTTTCTTGCTTTCCTCTCACTACTTCCAGGCAGAAGGAACGGCAAGTACAAGGCTAGGTTAGGAGCCCCTTGGAGATGAAGTCGGGGGCTCCCACAGAGTAAGAGAGAAGGAAAGGTAGTTTAAGAGGGGCCAGGGAAGGCAGATAGGTCCCAGGGGATCTTGAAGGCCATGTTGAGAACTTTGGTTTCCAATGGAAATCTGTTGAAGAGTTTTGAACACAGTAGTGGCATGAGTTAGGATTAAACTCTCTGATTACTGCTTAGATAAAAGCCCAGAAAAATTGAGAGAGTGGTGGCTAGAATACCGGACAGGGGCTAGGGCGATGGTGCTGGTGACAGTGTTTCCTTTGTGAATCTACTTGAATGGGTGGAACAGCTATGAACTGAAGATGGATGGGAGAGGGATTATAAGAGAGACTGCAGGAATGGCAGGAAGATTCATGTAAGTGGGATAAGAAAGACCTAGGACAGAGTGGCTTTGCAAGGGGACCCCAAGGGTCCTATAGTCTCTATAAGTGTCATGCATAGTCTCTATAAGCGTCATACAAACCTCTGAGTCCATAAAGAGGACCAATCAAGAGATCTAAGTTGAAAATCACCAACATGTAGATGGCATCAAAGCCACAGGCCAGGTGGGATTAACTTGAGACTCTAGAGACATTGTAAATATACATTCCATCTCTTCGGTCAGGTACTGCGCTAAGTCCTTTATAGCCCTTGGCTTGCGGAGTTTTCCTGAGAATGCTATGAAGTTACTCTATTATTATTCCCATTTTACTGATATGGGCATTGAGTAGAGAAACCCCCAAATATCTTAGATACGGCCAACTGGATTAAGAGGAGCAAAGAGATGAAGAGAAGAGGCCTAAGAGTTCTGGGTACTCCAGGGTTAAGGGGGCCAGGGAGCAAGGGAGCATAGACTAGGGGCCAGAGCAGCAGTGGGGGAGGGGAGGAGAGTTACAATGGGCATGACACCAGACACCAGACACCAGACACCAAACTTCTGCTCCTCTTGCCTCCACTTTCCACTTAGCACCATTGTAGCATGTGCCAGCATATCCTGCTTAAAGATGATTTAACATATGCAAAAGGATGTGTGCAGAGTATAAGCAGTAATAGGGGTAGAATATAGCTGAGACACGCCCTCATGCTTCTTTAATTCCACTTTGAAATGAACCTACTGGCCCAAAAGAAGGTGGCTCAGTGGGTAAGGTTTTTGATGTGCAAACACAAGGCCCTGAGTCTGGATGTCCAGAACCCATGTAAAAGTTGGACATGGTGGCTTGTACCTTCAGCCACAGTGCTACAAGAGGAGCCGAGAGCTCATTGAACAGCTTGTGTAGCTGAAACAGTGAAATCCAGCTTCAGCAAGAGACCTGTCTCAAAAAAAAAAAAAAAAAAATCAGGTGGAGAGCATCAGAGGAAGACACCAAGAGGCCACTTCTGGCCTCCACAGGCATGCCGGTGCACCTGCTCAGACACACGTACGCAGCGGGGGGGGGGAGGGTGAGAACATGCAGCTCCTTCTACCTGGAACGTGGGGGGAAGAGCACCCCAGTGCCTGTGCCTTTGCTGGCAGCAGGGCCCAGAGCTGCTTCTCCTGAAGTAGCACCAGGGACAGAGCTCCCCTCTGCTCAGACAAGGGCCGTTGCTGGGCCCGCCGGCACCAGCAAAGAAATGTCTGTGCTGTGAAACCCTATAGTTTAACCGTTTTGCTTTTGTTTTCAATACAGTTGTTTCTCCTGTGTCAGCCTATCAATTTTATTTCATACATTTAAAATGTATTCTGAAAAGGAGTCCAGGGTGCAAAAACCAAACCAAACCAAACCAAAACAAAACAAAAAAAAACCAAAACACCAAATCATTAAGACTTCGAATGCATTTCACAATTAACCATGGAATAAGGAAACGCTAACACAAGCAAGGGAGTAAAGGTTCTCTGCCGAGGGAACTGGCTTGGTATTTAACTCCAGGTTGTATCAACTGGGGAAGTTCAGGCATTTTGCAATGGCTACGGCTATCAGACTCATACTCATGGAGAAGGACGTCACAGGAAGGTGACAGGGCCGCATCTGGACAGACACTGGAAGTACAGAAGCAATCCCCAAGGAAGTGCGGGGCTGTAGCCAGCTCTTCCCTTCCTTCCTTCCTTCCTTTTTTCCACATCAGTAGAACAAGAGTCATATTGGACCTCTGCCTTTTGGTATCATTAGGAAAGCACAACTGGCTGGCAGCTACAAACCTCTGAGGCCGGCACATGATAAGCACAACTTATATACATTGTTAAAGACAATTCACCTTGTTTCTTCTCTTTCTTTGCCATTAAATAATCAATAACTTCCCGAGACCCAGCCTGGGCTCAAACTCCTGAGCTTCCTCACTCCACCTCCCAATCCGAGGATCACAAGTATTTACCTCTATGTCTGGCAAGTAAGGTAACTCTATAAATGGGTAATTTCAATGTTAATAAGCACAGTATCCAAGTACATGAGTCTAAATAAAAGTGTTATTGTAGTGTATTTCTGGTACTTTTGTTTTTGTTTGCTTGCTTCTTTGAGGCAGGGTCTATTTATTACGTAGCTCTGGCTGTCCTGGAACTAGCTCCGTAGGTCAGGTGAGCCTTAAACCCACAGAGGTCACCTCCCTCTGCCTCTGCCTCTGCTGAGACTGAGGGCGTTCGCCATCATGACCAGTCATGCCTGGCACTTTTGATCACTCTTAAATTTGAAAAGGAAAAGATGAAAAGAGATACTAGGGCTGGGAGTATAGCTCAGTAATACAACACACACTTAACATGCACCACAGATAAACACAGGCGAAGTTAGTGATTAAACGAACTCCAGCTCTCCCACCCTATAATCTGCTGAGGTCAGAGAGCAAGATCTCAATGGCTTGCAGCCCACCCCTCCACCCCCCAAACCTTAACAGCTCCTGTGACTTATACTCACGGGGAGACATTCCCTTCACTCTGTCTGTCACCGGCAGAGTTTGGGGTCTATCTCCCAGCACTGCATTTCCTGCACATGGAAGAAACCGACATCACTAAATTCTACTTATCAGCCTGGACTTCAGGTTTGCTTAAGTGTAACAGTGCAGAGGCCTCTAGGTCAACCCTGGGCTAAGAAGAGCCTTCAAACGACTTTGGATATGAGATGGAAAAAAAAAAATCTCTAACTGAAAAACCCTTGTGCACTTGTGCATGAGTGTCAAAAGTTACAGAGGAAAACAATTAAATTAATCAAAGCCCTTCACACTGGGGTATAAAGAAAACCCCAAAAGCCAAAAGGCGTGGAGGAATACCTTGACTCTCCCCACTCCTTTGCAGAGACAGCCAGGGTGGCGAGGGTACCTGGAGCTTGCCCAGCTAAGGCAAATGCAGCTCTTCCTGAGAGGCATGGCATTGTAGCACCACCCTCCAGCTGCCAGCGCCTGCCTCCCTGGGATGACGGTTCTCTCCCTCAGTCTCGGTCAGAGAACAAACAAGTCAGGCTGGTTTGAAACTTGCCTGGGCAACCAGCGTCACCTGGTTTGTTCGCGTGTCCTGTGACTTGTGAGCAGAACCTACACCATAAATCTTAAGTTCATACTCTTCCAGGGCTCAAACGGGAAAGGGGGAAACCCAGCGAAGAATCTGGTTTTTGAGGCACCAATTGCTGTCATTCTGCAGCAATGACATTCTGCCTCTCTGCCAACAACAAAGGCTATATCAAAGAGCTTAAAAGACTTGACCTTCCACCTAGGACCCCACCTCTGACCCCTGTAAAGATCATTTTCCAGATCAAAACCAGCCCCTCCTACATACTCAAAGGGTATGCAGCGTGCCAAATCGGCACAACCTGTTGCTTCCCGTCTTAATCATTTACAACCTCATTCAGTTCCAAAACCCCCGGATGGCTTTCCAGGTTAAGAGCTATGTAGGTCTAGGGATTTTCTGACCTGAGAATGCAAAATGGGTCCATCCTCTTTAGGTGCTCCCCTTTAAACCTTCTGGAGACTGACAGGCTATACTGAATTCTACTTCATGCACGGAGAGTCCGCTGTGTTACTCTTTCCATCATTGTGACATGGCACCGACAATTTCCCGGTTCTGGTGCCAGGAGGAATCAAGAAGGTATAAAGTTCAAGTGCCGTCAAAGCAATTAAAATAAACAAGCAGAGAAGGAGCTTCAGGCCACGCCCACCTCCTACAGAGAATTTCATCTGGCATTGTCACCACACTTCCAGTCCCCAAACTTCGAAGGAGTGAGGGACATCAGCCCTCTTCATTCGCCAGTCCCCCGACTCGCAACCAGCACCTAACTTTGTCTTTGATCACCTGTGGGTTTCAGAAGGTTCCAGGCCATTTTCCAGGCTGCTATCTGTCTGTACCATCTCCCGTTTCAGTTCTCCGATCTCCGAGGCAATTGTGTCGATGAGCTATTCAAAGACAAAAATAGCGTGACGTCAGGAAGTGAAGAGGCGGGCCATGTTCCTAAAGCCAGGGAGCTCCTACCCGCCACAGATGCCTCCCCCCCCCCCAAGTTTTAAACCTTTGCTCTGTGAATTTCCTCTAACCAGAGGAAAAAAATAAAGAGGGAGGGAGCAACTCCCCTTTAAAAAGAGGAAGAACTTAGGTTTTGGTATTGGGAAAGAGCTGGTTTCAGTATTGTAATAAGGAAAAGGTTCTGACACTCAGTTTAGGTTGCTCAACATAAATATAGAAGAATAAATAAATGCTACTCAAACCAGGCCTCCGAATTCATTTTTGTCAAAAGAAATAGTTCAAGGATCTCTGTGAGTTGGAGGCCAGCTTGGTCTACATAACAAGTTTTAGCCCAGCCAGGGCTACAGAGTGAGACCTGTCTCAGGGAAAAAAAAAAGAAAGAAAATTACAAGGCATGGTGGCACACAACGATAATCCTAGCAACTCAAGAGCCGAGGAAGGGGTATAAAAATTTTGAAACCAAGCCAGGCGTGGTAGCATACTTCTGTAATCCTGGCACTCAGGGAAGCAGTGGCAGGTGGATTTCTGTGAGTTCAAAGCCAGCCTGGTCTACAAAGGGAGTCCAGGATAGCAAAGGTTACACAGAGAAACCCTGCCTTGAAAACCACAAAAAAGAAAAAAAAAAAAAAAAAGAAAAGAAAAGAAAAGGAAACCAGTCTAAGATACATAATAAGACCTTGGTTCAGAAAGAAATAAACATGTCAACAATTCAGTACTTACAAATTCAATTTTTCTGAGGTTCTAGGGACCAAGCGCAGGCCTCACACATACTATGTAGCTATACTACTGGAGCTACATCTCCAGAATCAATCAACTGACTGATTGGTTGACTGAGCCATGGACAGAGCCAGGCCTTCCCATGGAGCCTAGGCTGACCTTGAACTTGAGATCCTCCTGCTTCCGTTTGTCTCTCTCCCTGCAATTCCTGTCTTGGTGTTTTGAGAGAGGATTCTGCTATGGAGTTTAGGCTGGTCTGGATCCGGCTGTGTACACTGAAACTGGCCTAGAACTCAAGGCAACTCTCCTGCCTCAGCCTCCTGAGCACTGGGATTATAGGCATGTGTTACTATGTATGCCTAACTTAGTTTTTTAAGATTGATAAATACAGATCCCGTGGGACATACTTGTACTCCCAGCTATGTGGGAGGTAAAGACAGGAGGGTCATTTGAACACAGAAGTCAGACCATACTGGGCAACATGGACTGGGCCTACACATGAATGAATGAATGAATGAATGAATGAATGAATGAATGAGTATATACTCCAAAAATTAAAAAAAAAAAAAATACAAGCAAGAAGACAAGTTAAGAGAAGAGAAAGGACTGACCAAGGCTGAGAACGGGTGAATGGTGGGTGAGGAGGCCCCAGAGATATCTAGGGGATAAACGTGACCTCTTCTGGCAGAGGCTTCAGCTCTCTTGTGTCTCCAGCTCACCCACTCACCTGGGTTTTTCTCCCCTCCCCCATCTTCTTTTTGGCATTGCTGGGGGTTGAACTCAGCATCTGTGCATGCCAGGCCGGTGATGCATGTCTGAGCTACACCCCCAGCTGCTCACTACAAGCTTTTACACGTCACTGTATGTGTATAGAAAGTGCTTACGTTTGCCACTCTGCTCCAGGTTTTTGAAAGTGCAGTTATTTTTCACCTACATGAGGCTTATGTTAACATTCAGTGTGTCTACTGATAAGCTGCTTGAAAAGTCTGATTTCACTCATTCACTCATCCATTCAGCTTCAAACCCACTTCGTGCCAGGCGTGAAGTAGAGAGTAAGGCTGGCAGGTCTCCATTTTCACTGGGCTAGCATTTGGGAGAGAAAGAGAAAGACAGAGAGAGAGAGAGGAGAGAGAGAGCCTAGCACTGGGGGCTGAGATTTTTCTGGAATGAAGGTAGATTAGGGGTATTTAGGCAGTAACTAAGGGGCCTTGCTACCTAGTGTGGGTCATCAGGACAGGTGTTGGCACAGGTAACAGAGCCCTGAATGACAAAACAAACAAACAAAACAAAACATCAAAGAAACAATCCATCATTCGGAAAGTTCCAGAACCTGGAGAAAGAAGCAGGCAGGCACTAGACCACGCTTACCAAGTAGCACAGTCTTCGTCCATTTGAGTTCCCCACAGTAAGAAGCATTGGAAGCATTTAACTGTGGCATTTACGAGGCTCACATTTTATGATCTACAGAGACTGTCTAGTTAGGTTTGCAGGAGGAGAAACAAGGAAACTGATGAGGAACAAATGCAGGGGCCCAGGCAAGAGACCGCTTTGGGCCTCTTGAGAGCAGTGAGAACAAAAAGAAGAGGAAGATCCAGGAACAACTCACCAGAAATGGATATGAGTTGATGGCTGGCTGTAAAATTATGAGAAAGAACAACTAGAAATTGAGCTGTGGGGTGTGAGGGTGCACGCTTGTGATCCTGGTACTAGAGAAGAGGCGAGTGGGCCAATAATTCACGACCATGTTCGGTTACTCAGAGAGTTCAGGGGCCTGTCTGGAACAAGGAGACAATCTCAAACCCAAACAAGGGGCTGGAGAGATGGTTCAGCAGTTAAGAGCACTTACTGCTCTGTCTGAGGACCAGGGTTCAGGTCGTAGCACCCGTACTGGGTGATTCACAGAAGCCTGTAACTACAGCTTAAAGGGAGCGAACACCCCTTTCCAGGCTCCATGGGTACACACACATGCATGCACGCACAAATTATATACATATGTGTGTGTAAAGAAAAGTTGGCCAGGCGTGGTGGCACAGACTTTGAATCCGAGCGCTTAGGAGGCAGAGACAGGTAGATCTTTGTGAGTTCAAGGCCAGCCTGGTCTACATAGTAGGTTCCTGGCTGGCCAGTGCTACTTAGTGAGGCACTTGTTTGGTGATACTCAAGGTTAAACCGACAGCAACATGCACACTAGAGAGAGAGAGAGGGAAAGGGAGAAAATAAGGGTGAGAAGAGTAACATTTTTGGGGCAGCTGGGGGAAAGGGACGGGCAGCTGCAGCGGACATTCTCAAGATACATTGTACACGTGTGTGTTTGAAATCATCAGAGGGTAAATAAATAAATAACAAGAAAGTGTGTATGTGAGTGGAGAGGGGTGGTGGGGTTTAAAATAAAAGGACAGAAGGGCAGTTTGAATAGCTCTGTGGAAGCCCAGCTATGCTGAGGCTATGGTCTAGACAGAAGAGCTACACAAACAGAGGGCCCCACCTGAGGGACACCCTAGTCTAGCCTTAGGCAAACCTCCCAGAGAAGATTCCCACCCCAGCAGCAAGACAGGTCACCATGCCTCCATTCAGCGCTCTACTCTTCATCACTCTGCTACCAGCTACTCCGGTTTGAATATAAAATCCCCCGATGCAGGCTGATGAGATGGCTGAAGACCTGAATTCAAGTCCTGGGTCCCCAGGGGCCTTCCCCAGAAGAGGCAATGGACCCTTCTGGCTAAGCTCCTATCACTGCGCCTCTAACAGCATCTCCAGGCTTTGCCCCTCCTCGCTTCTCTATACCTCTACTGACTCTCACTTAGGGGTACCAAGCTTGCTAATCACTGAACATGCCATTTCTCTCTGTGGCCTGAAGGCACAAAGATGGATAAATGCAAATGTTGCTCTTGGCTGGATCCCTGACAGCAGAGGGTATGCCCCTTCTCCATCTAATCCCTGCTTAACCCACCCACCTGACAGCATAGAGGGAGTTCTTCACGAACTGGGCCAGAGTGGAGTGGTCCAGGGCCAGGCCTGCTCTTAGCGTTAGTTTTAAGCTCCTGCACCAGCGAATGTTATCACCAAGAGCCATTCCTTCCTTCCTTTCCGAAGTCCCATGATTTGGGAGTTTGGGCTTTGGGAGTTATTCATATTGTTCTTTGATAAATTTGTGCGTATTTGCTTATTTTTAATTCCTAAAAGCTTTCGTTCTAATCTCTTACACTTGATTCTTCCTAAACTTGTTCTTTGAGGACAGAAACAGCCCCTTGACCACTTGTGGGGACTTCTGTTAAAGGTACCAGGAGCTTCTCCCAAACCTGGTGCTATTAGCTGAAGCAGTGCTCCTCAGTCTTCCTAACAGAGACCCTTTAATACAGTTCCTCATGGTGTGGTGAGCCCCCAGCCATAAAATTATTTTTGTTGCTACTTCATAACTGTACTAATAACCGTTGCTAATGTTATGAAGCATAATATAAACACCTGTGTTTTCCAATGGTCATATGTGACCCTGTAAAGGGTCATTCAACCCTTAGGGGTTTTGATCATCAGATTGAAAGCCACTGAACTGAAGTTTCTACAGCTTACAGGAACATAAGCATCAGTCCAGAAACCTGAATGTCTCTGCCGAAGCCCCACGATGCTGAGGCTATGCTCCGGAGAGCGGGCCCTGGATGCTGAAGTATCTGCAAGGCTAGCCCGTAAGTGTGGCTTGCACTACTCTGGTCACACAGAAAGCCTGCAGACCCTAGAGAACCGGGCAGCAGTGAATGTTACCTGGTGCAGTCAGAGGGTGAGGTGGGACACAGGTTGTCGTGGCATAAAGTTGGTGAGACAATGATTCTTACCCTCAAAGCTCAGCATATCTCTGCCATTCCCCAAATAGTACACAGTAGGAACTTTATCTGTAGGCCAGACTGGCCTTGAACTCAGAGATCAGCCCGCCTCAGATGAGATTAAATGCATGGCTTGGTATCTGGGTTTTCTTTCCCCTGCAGGGCTCTACGGGAAGGATCAGCGATGCACCTCTACTCAGAAGCTGGGAAGGGGCTGGGACTGTGACACCATGCTGGGGCACTTGCCTCGCATAGCAGAGACCCTTGGTTTGCTCCTCAGCACTGCAAAACAAACAAAATAAACAGAAAGAAAAAGTGCTGCTGGCATGGCTAGATACTTGGACCAGGAGTCCAGAGGGGACGGTCATGGTGATCACAGGAGGAGAGAGGAAGATAGGCCAGGAGTTGGGTCTCTGGTCCCTCTCCTCACTCTAGGACTCAGAAACCTGGTCCCCATGGGGTGTTCACCTGTGTGACTTTGCATGTCTGTAACATCCATGCCCAGAGTGGGAGAATGATGAGGGCTCAGTGTTATCCCCCAACCCTTTGAGACCTGTGTGCTCAGGTCTGGTGCAGGAGTTTAAGCTAATTTGCACCACTCTGTAATCAATTATTTCCCTGCAGACAGAACCTCGGCCATATCAGCTTGTATAGTTTAGTTCTGAAGAGGCCTGCAGCTCAGCAGGGAGAAGCAGTGGGAACTGGGCCACCTAGGGGCTCAGGAAGGCCGGCCTTCAAACCCCATCTCCTATTCCTCCAGGGGCTGGGTCACCTTGGGCCAGTCACAAGTCACAAGACAGATGCTATGAGAAAGGTGACTGGGGGAATGAATACTGCCCCTGGTGCCTAAGTGTTCTCTATGCTCTTCCCATATATATGGCCTCCTATTTCTTACACTCAAGATTGCAGAGAACCAATGCTGAGGGTCCCTTAAGAGAACCTGGAAGAGGCCTAATCCCCAGCAGCAAGGACCTAGGGCGGAGCTATCTAACTGTCCAGAAGTCTGCATCTACCCGGCACCCATTTTCCTCTAACGGGAAGGAAAGCCATTGCACGTAACCCTGTAGACACAGGAGGGAGGAGGGAAAAGGGAGGGAACCCCAAATCTTTTCTTGTTTTGGGGTTAGATAAAAGGAGAATCATTTTCTTGAAGGTCAAGTAAAAATAAAACAAGAAAGTGCTTAGACAGCAAGGCTGCCAATGCCTGGTGTCACTCAGGAATGTTATCAGTGTCTGAGAGGTATGTGAGGCTGATAGGATGACTGCTGGAAACCTAGGGTGTGGGAAAAGCCAGGCTCTTGGCTGCCAGCTTCAGAATTTCTTCTATACCCAATTCATCAACTTGGCCTTGGAGTCTGGTGGGCTTTTGCATTCTGGGAATCAACTGTGTGGGAAAAGACTTACTCCAGGACCTGAGAACTCACATGACCCAAACAATTCCCTCCGCTGTCTGTTTCTGTTGACCTGGAGTTGCTTCGTGGGTCCGGTGGCTGCATCCCACATTGGGAATTTTCTAAAGCCGACTCTGAAAAAATGATGGACCTCTTCCATCCTTGCAAACAATCTTTGCTACTGAAACTATCACCAGGGAATAAAAGGTAGCACAGAGCTCCCTGCTCCATTTGTGAAGAAGTATTTGTTGTTAGTGTTGTTTTGAGACAAGGTCCCATAGCCTATGCTGGCCTCAGACAGCTGGCCTTGAACTTCTGATCTTCCTGCCTGGAAGTACTAGAATTATAAACATGTGCCACTATGATCAACTATTTTCTTTGTTTTTGTTTTGTATTCCTCGAGACAGGGTCTCACTTATACCCCAACCTGGCCTAGAACTATGTAAGCCCAGGCTGGCCTCAAATTTGAGGCAATTCTTCTGCCTCAACCTCCTGAATGTGGGGATTACAGGAGTTTGTGACAATGCCCGTCTGGATCATGTTAT